CAAGAAAGTAACGCAGAAATCTATTACCAAATTTAGAAATTATGCATGCAGATTATTAGCCGGCTAACATCACTAGTAATTAGCATTGTTGGTATTAGTAGCAGTAGTAGTAGCGTTAGTAATGCCATCGTCATCGTTGTAATTAGCATTGTTGGTATTAGTAGTAGTAGTAATAGCGTTAGTAATGTCATCGTCGTCGTTGTAATTAGCATTGTTAGTATTGGTATTAGTAGTAGTAGCATTAGTAGTAGTGTTGTTGGTAGTAGTAGCGTTGTTGGTAGTAGTAACGTCATATGATGAAAAAACCTCCCCACTTAACATAATCAAATTTTTTTGGGTCCTGACAAGGTCTCCGTGGGTCTTGACAAGGTCACGAACACATGGCAATTTTTCTTTTATGGCATTGTAGTTGCTTGCATTGTTGCTGTTAATAATGTTGTTGTTAATATTATTATTGTTGTTGTTATTATTATTATTACCAAGGTTATAAATTACGAATTTTTGTCATTATTAATAAAATAAATGGAACTTACATTTTTTTTCTCTTTTAATATTTATATTGGTATTGTTATTATTGTTGTTGTTGTTGGTTAGGCATTATTAATAATAATTTTTTTTTAATAAAATAAATGTAACCTACGTTTTTTTTCTTTTTTTTAAATATGTTTTTAAAAAAAACAAAGATTTTAAAACAAAGATTTAAAAAAAGTAAACAAAGATGTTGGTTAGATTGATCGTCGTAATTAAAATGGCCTTCTCAAATTATTCATTATGTAATAATAATGACATTTATATTCCCCCTTCCCCCCTCTACAATCTATTTAATGGGGGTGGTCTAAAAAATTTACATAATAATAATTATCTGTTTAATCTACTTTTCAAATTTTGAATTACAAGGGCCAGTGTAAAAGGTAATTTTAATCGTGAAAATAATAATAATAATTATTATTAATTTAAAACTGGTTTTTTAAGACATCAGATGATATTTATTGTTACATATATATGTTGTACTTTACAATAAATGTATATATGTTCATGATCGACTTTGAATTTAAATAAGATCAGATTGACATGGAAATATTAACAAATTAAAACAAGTATATTAATAGTATAATTTAAATTTTTGAGTGGTGAACGGATGACGGATTATAATAGTAATAGTAATAATAGTAATAATAATAATAGTAATAGTGATAGTAATAGTAATAGTGGATATCCGCAGATCGCATCACTAATACTAATATACTAACTAATATTAATTACATCTGGACAAATATTATGTGCTAAGATTGCAGTATCAATTCTAATAAGACATCATTTGTAATTTCACTCTGTTCTTCTTGTAATGCAGACTCTAACCCGTTGATATTTTTGAGCATTTTAAGGTTCTTCTTTCCATAAACGCTCAATTGGATTCAAGTTAAGAGGAGACTGGCTTGGCTGGTTAGACAAAACATTTATTTAAAACCAACCTTTGCAGCATGAACTACTGGGTATTGTCTTTTAGCACGTTAATCTTTTTGAAGTAAGAAATAATTTGGATTTTCGGTCAAAATTTTTATTATTATTATTATTACATACCTATTAACGTTAGAGAATGAAATTTTTGCGTATCAATATTCAGAAAAATATGTACGCATTGTATTTTTTAGTGTTTCAAAAATCGAGAATTTCGTAATTGATTAGTATTAATTATTTATGATTTGCATGAAAGAACATATTTTAGTTAGTTATTATTAAGAAAGATTATTTTCTTGAAAAAAAAAACCCCCTTTGATCACAATTGCCTGTAAATATATATAAAAAAAAGTTAGTTATGACAAAAATTAAGCATTACTATAATAACTAATACTTACAAATTTGGTCCAATGAACCATTTATCTAAATTTTCATCGATAACTCTTGTAAAAACATTTAAATAACCATTTCCATTTGGAAATGAAACAAGTGCAGTACATGTAAAATAATCGCTATTATTATTATTATTTTCAATTGGAAAAGTGAAAACAGTGCTCAAAGTATTGTCTGATTGGTCCTATTATTGTAATTGTAATTAATATATTATTATTATCGTTAATTAATAATATTATAATTATTATTAATAATATTTTATTTTATTACCTGAACTCTTATTGATTCAAAATAAAATAAATTGGCATGCAAAGAATTTTTAAGAGCAGATGAATCAAATGAATCGTTTTCACGTGCAAAAAAAATTAGTTGTACAAATTTTAATTGCCTTTTGACTATTATTGTTATTGTTATTATTAATATCCATATATATGTTGTTATTAATATTTTAATAATGACAATGATAACAATTTTTTTAAAGTCTACCTTTACTTAATTTACTTATTTCAACTAATCCTTCAAAATTAAGAACTAATTTTGTAAAATTTCGTTGAAATAATTGATTTCTTTCGATCGATGGAATTTTAAGCCACTAGCAATAGCAAAAATCATTGTTTAATAATTTTATATATATTTAAAAAATTTAGGTTAAAATAATTTCAAATTTAAGAAAAGAAAACTTAACCGACTTTCAATCTTGTTCCTCTTTGCCTGTTAAAAAAAAACGGAGGAAGATTTAATGGCAGATTTAAAATCTGAAGTATAAACCGACGAAAATGTGATAAAACATTCTAAATAAAATATAAATATCCAAAAGTTAATAATTATTATTAATAAATAAAGAAATTTAATTTGACTACTTACAACTGTATCTTTAATTCCTTGGAGTTGCTTAACACGTTTCAAAATATCAATACATTGAAATCTTAAAACAGACTGTGTTTTATTCTTTTTTCTTTTGTAAGAATTAATTTCTTGTATTTTATCAGTTTCATTCTGGTAATTATTGTCAGAATTTGTAAGCTGGATCAATGAAAGTAACAATGGATTTATTGGTTCTTCACTGTTTTTTTTTACCCCCCAAAAATTTAATAAAATTTAATATGTATATACGCATATATAATATTTCAATATTTCAATATAATAAAACCTACTTTGGTGAGTTAAATAGACATTGAAAGGCGTATAATAGTACTAAACAACATATTTGATATGTTAGAAAATGATTAAGAATGAATATATTGTGTGATTTTTAATTAAACTTTTTCCTTAAAAAAAGCCTAAAGGATATGATTCCAAAATTTCAAAACTTTCTTTATCAATATCATAGAATGAATAAGCAACAAAACTATGTAAATTCGCTAAATCGTTAAGAATTTTTTTAGGTTGAATCTAAAAATATAAATACACACACACATATATTAATTGTTTATTGAACAAAATTTGAAAATGACAATAAAATAACAATAAACCTACTATGTCAAAGTCAATTTCTTGTGATTTAATTTTTAAGAGAAAATTTAATCGAGATAAAATAAGTTTCACTTTCAAAAAAAATTCGACTCGAAGTTGACAAAACCATCTTGCAAAAATTCTGTGATCACTTGTATCTGTAAAAGACATGAATCCCTATAATATATATGTGTGTGTTAAAATACACGCACATAGGCATATAATATATACAAACATACGTATATTGATTGCATGTACATTTAATTCAGAGTCTCCTTTTACGTAAAGTCGTACAGGTTCATTAAAGTTACCATCGTCGAATGGATTTATATCAATATTGTGAGCAATTTTTTGCTCAGCATCAGCGACATTACTCAAAGATTTAAGCCAAAATCTAGGTGCTTCAGAATCAACCTTTTGAATATAATGTTAATGTATCAACTATTTATCAATCAATCAATCTATTTTATATATATTTTTTTAATTGAATTGAAATACCTCATCAACAAATGACTGAAAAATAGATGACATGATGTTGTAACAACCAGATTTACCGGCCTCTACTCCGATCAAATAAACATCCCATTGATTTTTTGTGAACCTTTTTGTAATATAATTTCCAAATTGGTGAATTGCTTTAAGAAGCGTATTACTAAATTCTTTTATTTGTGATGTAAATTCAGGTCGTGATCTTAATGCAGTCTTTGCAAGTAATCTCTAGAACAACCAAATACATATGCGTATTGTTGTTATTATTATTATTATTAAACCATTAAATCGATTATTTATTTACTTACAAAAGAACGAGGCAAGTTTATTAATTCTTCAGAACTTAATAATGATAAAATTTCATCCTGAAATCCTTGCATGATTGTTCCTCTTTGATCACTTGCCATTAAAAGAAATTTGAGTAATTCAGAAAACAACGTATCTAAATTTATAAGCATATATATAAATAAACATTTTATGCGTACAACTATATATAAGTATATATAACATACCAACATCAAGGCCAATATTTTCCTTCAATAAATCAAAAATATCACAAATTACATTTTTAGCCAAATCATCATTTGTCAGACATATTGAAAACAGGCACTTGAGAAATTCTTTAAACTATATTAAAAAAAAAAGGAATAAAGAATTAGAATAAAGAATTATAAGAAAATAGAAAACAGAAAATCAGATCAAATCAAATCATTTAATTGAATTTAATTGAATTGAATTGAATTAGAAAGTTAAATAAATAAATAAATACAATATTCAAGTGTTTTTCACTTTTATCTATATCATTAGTGACTTGAGTATTATATGATGCCTTCATCAATTTCTTTATAATTAACAATATTGACTTACTAATCTTTGAAGGGAGATCTTTGAGATATATGTCTAAATTCAATAAAATCAATTAAAATCAATAATAATAAGTAATCAAATAATTGATTAATCAAATTATTAATAATTAAATGCACACACACCCCACTCATCTCCTATTTTTATAAACCGATCTAAATCTCTGATATGTTCATATTCTATTATCAACCTTACAAAGAACCTAACAAAAACGATAGTAAGATCCAACATATTTTGCTGAATATTCGGTAACATATCTTCAAATATTTGAATATAGTGAAGTATCTCTATACGAACATCTTGATCTAAATCAGTGGAGATTAGGTTGGTAAGTTGACCTGGATTTTGTTGTAATAATGTTGATAAAACATTTAATGCTTTGATTTTGATAATATCATCAGATTCACTATCTATGATATTCAATAAATTCTAAAAAAAAATCAACAATGATTATTATTATTACTGCCATTACTATTCTTATTATAAACAATAATACTAACTAAAATATTTGTTGCATCAAATCTAAAGTTTTTAGATGCCAATCTATTCAAATCAGTTAGTATACTAATTTTAACTCTTTTTCTTGCATCATCCATTAAATATTGAAATAAAAGGTCAATCTATATAAAGAAATTCGAAAATTAATAATAGTAATACGATTCGTAAGAAATTATAAAATGAATCAATATTTAAATTACCTGACTAGCAGTATACTCAAGAGCATGACATGACAAGAATGTCAAGGTTTTCAAAATTGTTATAACATAAACATCATCTGAATGCTTCTCGAGCAGTTGAATACACATAGACCTTGCCTTTCTAGCTAAATTCTTATCCCAATGCATGTGTCTTAAGACTCTTATTAATTTTAATTTAAAATCTAATTGTAAATTATCAGCTTCAAAATAATTAATAATAATAATAAATAATAATAATAAATAATAAAAGTAAAAAAAAAGTTAGTATCATTTAATTAAAAAAAATTTTACGAGAAGAAACTTTAAATAGACATATAAATACATTGAAGTTTTGAAGCCAATTTTTCACATAAAATAACAGAAAATTTTTCTGTTTTTGAGGAAATTTTATCAGCCGCAAAAATTGCAGCATTTGCTTCTATTGGTATAGGAGAATCAAGTCGTTGAAGTATTCTATACATTTAGAATCAATAGTTTTAATAATTTTTTCTAAAAAATTACTATATAAAAGATGAAATAATTAAATACCCGTGTTGAATATCCAAAAGCTCTGTTAATAAAGTCGATATATAACCAAGGGTTCTTTTGTATGTTAAAATAGATTATTTTAAAAGTTATAAATAATAAATAAATAAATACATATATTAAAGAAATCAAATCAAACCTTAAAGCAAGTGAACGAGCTATTGGATCATTGCTTTGATTTTCTAAAAGAAAGAATATACTTTTAATAATTTCTTCATATTTGGGACCAGTATTATTTGTAATATGATTTTCAGCTTCTTTGAAAACCTTTAGAATGCAACGACGAGTTTTATTATTTTCACTAAACAATAACAATTAATAATAATAAAAGTGTAAATTATATTCTCTATATAATAATAACAAGAAGAAGAGGAAAAAAATTAAATTGTTGAATTGCTATCGTTACCATTCTTTAAAAGAAACTGCTAAAAAAACCAAAGTCTCCTCAGAAATATGTGGAATTGTTTCTTCTAAAATACTTGGAACTTTTATAAGTACATCGTCAAGAATTTTACTTCTCAAAACGTTATTCAGATTGCTTGCTATCATGTATTTTGATTGATGAGCGTTGTTGCTAACAGTTTTATTTGACGGATAACCCTGTGAATATTAGTGAAAGTGTCAAATTTTTTTCTTCTGTAGATCAATTTATTGAAAACACGTAAATTTATCATTTATTTATTGGGAAAGAATAATTACAGGAAAAAATTAAAATTTCTGCAGTAAAACAAGTGTAAAATAGGATTAGATATAGCATATTCAAGTTGATAGCAATAGCAATAGTAATAGTGATGGATAATAATAAATGAGAATAGAATAAATAACCATAGAAACTTAATTATCTTAAATGAAAAAAAAAAATGTAAAGAATGAATTAAAGAATGAATATATTTAAAACTTACTACTAATAAATATTAAAGGAGGAAAGGAAAGAAATATAAATATAAATATGAATATCATATTTATATTTATTATATGTGAAGGTAAGATGATAGTGATTAATGATTTGGATTTTAATATTGTTTTTGAGCAAAATGTCTATAAGATTTACAAAAGGTTTTATTTTTGTTAAGTTCATCATGTATACTTTTAAACATCTCATGGAATTCTTGCTCGGATAAGTTCAATACTGGTAATATGTAAGGTTTTAATGGATCAACAATTAATTCAATGTTTTTCAACATCTAGAATGAAATAATAAAGTTAAAATGTTAGAATGGAGAAATCATTATTGTTGTTGTTATTATTGTTATTATTTGATATTTACATATTCACCAACTTTGCCACCCCAAGAACCAATAGGATTCGGACGTTCTTGAGAATGAACAGTAATCAATTCAGATTTCTGATTAAATAATAATGGAATTTCAAATAACATTTTTCTATTTATTCCTTTTGACAATAATAGTGTTGACACTAATAATAATAATAATAAAGTAATGACTAAGTTATTAAAAATTTAATACTTTCTTTAAAAAAAATGGCAAAAAATATTTACTTGATTGCAGAAAAAAAGTTGAAATTGGACCTGTATCATAAGGCAAAGGATCAACATCCCTGTTAGAAAAAAGAATGGAATTAAATTGATTGATTGATTGATAAAAAATAAGAATAAGAATAAACATGTTATAATGATTATGAGAATAATTTCCTACATTAATTCAATCCATCCACCAGGTTTAGTAATTCTTATTAATTCTAAATAATCAGAATAGAAAAAAAGCATTAAATAAAAATGAATACTTTATTATTACTTTAATCAAAAGAAAAGAAATACCTTCTATGTGTTTCATCCGTTTATTTTCAGGGATAAAAAATACCATAAATTTTTGATAGACAAAATCAAAGGTATCATCTGGGAAAGGCAAACCATTTTCACTAAGAGCATCAAATTTTAAAAAAGCAACGTTTGTGGGTTTATTTGAATCGTATTCATTAGGGAAAACGGGAGAAATATCAATACCAACAAAATTAGCATTAGGATATTCCTCGGCCATTTCTAACAACCAATGGCCAGGGCCACAACCTATATCCAAAACTTTTGCTTTATCATTTTTTGCGGGTGATGACTTTAAAACATTATCAACAGGAGAGGAAAAATTACCATTCCAAATGAAATGATAGATTATATGTTCTAAAGTTAAACGCTCAATTTCTTGTTTATCGTTTGGCAGGAAATAAGATGCAGTGGGTACATTATGATAACGTCTACCATTGACATAAAGAAATGGATCTAGCAAAAAAATTTCTTGAATTGAATTGGTTTTTAAATGAAATGTGTTTGTTGTTAAAGGTGATAATGGTGGTGATTGTAACATTGGTGGTTGCGGAGGCAATGGAAATGATTTCGTTGTTGATGGTGATGATGATGATGATGATAATGATAAAGATGAAGAAATAATATTAAGAGTGGTTGTGGCAGATAAGGGAGTGGCAATAGTAGTAGTAGTGGGAGATAAAGGATTGTTGATATTATTATTAATGCCAGTATTAATGGTAATTTTATTGATGCAGTTATCATTTTCGTTATTTGAGGCGATTGTGGTAGAGGTATTGACAATTATCTGTTTTGATGAAGTAACGGTAGCATTATTATTAATGATATCATGGTCAGCAATAATCTCTTTATCATCATCATCATTGTTGATGTTATTTTTAATATTAATATTAATGCTATCTTTATGATTTGTAGTTTTAAACATTTCAAAAAAAGTAGTATTGACAATAGAGCTTTGAACGAGAATTAAAAAATTTTTTAAAAGACAAAAGCCAAGAGCAGAGAACGAATGAATGAAAGCAATTAAATAAATAATTAAACAAATAATTAAATATTTGTAAAAAAAATAGCTTGAAACTTTTATGTGTATATATATATATATACATAAAATTTTTTTTTAATCAATAGGTGCATTAGTATTAGGAAATACTGTAAAAGGAAAAATAAATAATACTGGTAAAAGAAAATTTATTCTTCTTTGGGATTATAAACAAACAATTGCCATTATTTAAATGTAGCCAATGATTTCCAAGTTGAATCCTTTATAAAGAAAATCGTGTGTATGTATGTAAGATTACTTATATTACGAATGTGTAAAATGTAAATGTAAATGTTAATTGTATTTACTAAATTAGGTTAATTTTAAAATTCATATGTTTATTAATAAAATAAATAATATAAATATTACATTATAATGACTTTTTTGATTAATTAAATTAAATGACGAATTATTTATATTTTCATCACGATTTGCAGTTTCTGTTTTCATTGCTGATAACAGTTTTGTTTTAGTTCCTAATCCAGTTAATAAACCTGAAGATTCTTCTGATTCTTGTTGTTGAGGTGGTGGTAATGGAATTGGTAGGATGGTGAATGGACCAACAATGTCGAATATGATTTCATACGAGTTTGTTAATTCAACATCTAAATAGAATGAACTTGAATTACGTATATTAGGTGATAAAATTATTTGAATGGGATATTGAAATGATGTGATATTTGTTGTTGACTCATTATTACCACCATTACCACTATTGTTATTACTATTAATATTATGATTATTGTAAATAATCATTTTGTAATCCCATTTCCATTCTTCATTATGATTAATTGTTAAATTAGCAAACAAAATAACATTTACTTTATAATTAGAACATTCATTGATGCTATTATTAGAATGAGAATTAGGATGATTATTATTATTACCACTTCCACCATTACCATCACCATTACCAATATCTAGAATATTCCATTTAATGTCCATGTTATCTCCAGGTCTATAAGTTTCATTGAATTTTGGATTTGTGATTTTTATTTTACATTTATTATTATTATTTGAAGATTTAAATGTTGGCGATATGTCACCACCACCAGCAATGATGTTAGGTGTAGTTGTAGTTGTAGTTGTAGTTGTAGATAACGGTATTGAAAATGTTGTCATGCTTTTTACTTTGATAGGTATCAAGCTTGATGTTATCATGCTATTAATAATTCCATCGGAAGAAGAAATTGAAATTGTTGGTGTAGTTTTGGCATTGGTGATAAAAGCAATAGTAAAAGTAACAGTTAGTATTATCATTAATGTTATTTTTATTATTTTTATTTTCATTTTTTGAATAGATTAATCAAACTAAAAAAAAATTTTTATAAAATATGTTAATATATACAACAAAATGATATAATCATTTTCTCAAAGTTATAATATGATCTAATTGATATCATTACCATCAATCAAATGAAAAAAAAAACTCATTTTATAATTCATGCACTTTGTAAATATATATTTTTAAATAATATAAATATAACAATATTATAATATGAAAAGAAGTTTGATAATTAATTATCAAAATGAAAAAATATAATTATAAATCAATTTCTATTATTACAGTGTTATTAACAATTTATTTAATTGCAATTACAAATTCACAAAAAATTTCTCCTATTCCTCCACATCCTTCCACCACCACCACCACCACCTCACCCCTATCTTCTCTTAATCAACAACAACAACTAACTCCTAATGATTTCAATAATTTACCTGGAAATCCAGATCCTGCTCAAGTTAAAATACTTACTGCTACAACAATTAAACATACTGGAATTCATAAACCAACTGAAACTCCTGTCAGTGATAATAGCAACAAAAACGGCAAAAGTGACGAATCACTTGGAAATAAAACTATTTTTAATGAAGCTCTATTCATTGGATGCTTTCTTGCTTTGGTGTTCGTGATGATTATGTAATACATTTGGTACTTTATTGTTCTTAAATTTACAAAGAGCTAATAAATAAATAAAATTGACACCCAAGTAATAATAATGCTAGGACTATGCAAACATGAAACTTTTAAGGAACAAGTTGGAAAGCCTCACAAGCAGAATTGGAAAATAAAACCATGCATGATGTTTTTGTTGGATTTTAATCCGTGTCCTCTTTCCATGTAGAACAATTTTCAAAATGGGCTTGCCATCACCATGTATCCAAAAAAATTTTAGTGGTCAAGCCTCCTTTTTTTGTGTGTACATGGATGAATGTGTGCTGTGTGTGGATTGTACACGTGCATTTCTCAATTATAAATTGAAGAATTCCTTAAAAGTCATTGATTAAAAAAAAAATGAAATGAATAAATAACTGGTATTGATCACGGCTACCAGATTTAATAAGTTTCCTATCACAAATATGTGGTTGGATGCTCTTGAAATGCTTCGTACTCATGGGATTTTTCTTTCCCATGTGTGAAGGTCTCCTGTGCCGGAAGGCTTTGACAAGAAAGAAGCTTTAATGTTTGATGATCAACTGCTGCGACCAACCCCAATAAATCATTAATAAGAGTTAAAAAAAATATATATAATCTATATATTAATTTATCAGCATGCAAATTCGTTGTAGAATAAAAATCTTCATGCTCTCATCTTTGTTGTTATCATCATTGCTTATTTGTTCCTCCTGCTCCATCTCTCTTTTCTCTCATTCATAACCTATTCAAAGATCTTTTTTTTGAATATAACAGTTCTGGTCTTTTTTAATCATGTGCTTACAAATAAACCAATTACAATAAAATTTTTGTTTTCGAAAAATCCGGAATTCTGACTTGTTTAAAAGAAAGGATCAACATAAAAATAAATTTTTTAGATCAAAACAATCAAAAAAAATTTTTTCATTTTTAAAAAAAAAAAATATATAAATAATTGTAATATATAAAAATTTCATAATGGCCGAAGAATATAATGGTGCAATAGGTATCGATTTAGGTACTACATACTCTTGTGTTGCTGTTTGGGAAAATGAATTACGTGTTGGTAAGTTTAATTTATTAGTTTTTCTTATATATATATACTGTTTAATAATATTCTGTAATATTTAATTAATTTTTTTAAAAAAAAAAAACAGAAATTATTGCTAATGAACAAGGAAATCGTACAACACCTTCTTATGTTGCATTTACCGAGAATGAAAGACTTATCGGTGATGCTGCTAAAAATCAAGCTGCAATGAATCCAAAAAATACTGTGTTTGATGCAAAACGTTTAATTGGTCGTCGTTTTGATGATCCTGAAGTTAAAGCAGATGTTAAACATTGGCCTTTTACTGTAATTGAAAAAGATGACGGAGCACCATTAATTCAAGTTGAATATCAGGGAGAGACTAAAACTTTTACTCCTCAAGAAATCTCTTCAATGGTCTTAACTCGCATGAAGGTATGAGAATTGCTCTCTTGTAATATAGATGTGTGTATGTGTGTGTGTGTGTGTGTATAGTTCTCAGATAATATGTATGTACTCACACACACACAAACACATTTATAAATATTTTAAATTAAAAAATATTTTATAAGAGATTTTATTCAAAAATTATTATTATTATTATATTTGCTAGTAATTGTACACAACATCTGATATCAGCAAATTCCTTATATATATGTATATATATACTACTAGGACATAGCTGAATATAAACTTGGGAAAAAAGTAAAGAAATCTGTTGTTACAGTTCCTGCATATTTCAACGATTCACAACGTCTTGCAACGAGGGATGCTGGTAAAATCGCAGGTCTTGATGTTCTCAGAATTATCAATGAACCAACTGCTGCAGCTATTGCTTATGGACTTGACTCCAAAGATACATCAGAAAAAAATGTTTTGATTTTTGATTTGGGTGGTGGAACTTTTGACGTATCACTTTTAAATATATCTGGTGGTGTTTTTGCTGTAAAAGCTACAGCTGGTGACACTCATTTAGGCGGTGAAGATTTTGATAATAACTTGCTGGAACATTTTAAACAAGAATTTAAACGTAAACATAAACATGATATATCTGGTGATGCTCGTGCTATCCGACGTCTTAGATCTGCATGTGAACGTGCCAAACGTACATTATCCTCATTAACACAGACCACCATTGAAGTTGACTCTTTATTTGATGGAATTGATTTTCAAGCAACTCTTACAAGAGCGAAATTTGAAGAATTAAATTATACATTATTCAATGGAACCATAGAACCTGTACGTAAGGTATTAAAAGACGCTAAAATGGAAAAAAAAGGCATTAATGAAATTGTTTTGGTCGGTGGATCAACAAGAATTCCCAAAATCCAATCACTTCTTCAAGAATTTTTCGATGGAAAAGAATTAAATAAATCTATTAATCCTGATGAAGCGGTGGCATATGGTGCAGCAGTACAGGCAGCTCTTCTCACAAATCAAGCCAGCAGTGATAAAACACAAGATCTGTTGTTATTGGATGTGGTACCTCTTAGCTTAGGAGTTGAGACACAAGGTGGTATCATGACTATAGTTGTACCTCGTAATACACCGATCCCTACAATCAAAAAGAAAATATTTACAACGGCTGATGATGGACAAACGATTGTGGAATTTCCAGTTTATGAGGGCGAAAGACCTATGTGTCGTGATAATAATCTTCTTGGATCGTTTGAATTATCAGGAATTCCACCAATGCCTCGCGGCGAAGCAGAGTTAGAGTGTACTTTTGATATCAATGCTGATGGTATTCTAAAGGTGACAGCCAAAGACAAAGCAACTGGTCGTAAAGCAAATATCACTATTTCAAATTCTGCAGGTAGATTATCAGCAACTGAAATTGAACGTATGATTACTGAATCTGAGAAATTTAAAGAAGAAGACAAACAAAGTCAAGAACGTGTCGAAGCTAAACAAGAACTTGAAAATTATGTTTATCAGGTAATCAATTAGCTAGAATGAATTAATGAATAAATGAATAAATATTAATTCATTATCAATTAATTGATATTTAGATTGAAAATACACTTAATGAACCAAATGTTGCTTTGAAATTAAAACGCAATGATAAAGAAACAATTGAATCTGCATTATCAGGTTATTTTATTTCCTTTTTTTAAAAAATAAAAAATTATAATAATACTAACAATAGATTTTTATTTTGCTTTTCAACAGAGGCTCTTGAATGTCTTGAACTTAGTGGTGATAATACAGTTGCGAGTAAGGAAGAAATAAGTAATGCAAAAAAGAAATTACAACGTAGTGTCACTCGTGCGTTTGCTTCTCTTAATCGTTAAAAATAAAAACTAAATACAATGATAATTATGTACAATCTTAGATAAATTTATGTCTAATTCTGTAAATTAATATTTTTTTTATATAAAATAAAATTATTTAAAAAATAATGAATTTATTGATAAAATAGGCCGCCATAATATTTAATATTCATTACTGTATATTAATTTATATTTACTTATTTATTTAATTTACGGTCGCGTTTACTTCGTCGAAAATTATTTCGTCGACAGTTTGTTTCATCGAAAGTTCATTTCGTCGAAAATTATTTCATCCTCGAGCCAGAGACCGAACGGGTTAGATGTGAAGAGTGTGGGAAGTTAGCTAAGAAATTAGGTGATGAAAGCGGGGTGTGTGGGAAGTGCGAGGAGAAATTTGTTTGATGAAGTTTTTTTTTGTGACGAAATAAATTTCGACGAAGTGAAACAAATTTTCGACGAAATGAACTTTCGACGAAATGAATTTTCGATGAAACAAACTTTCGACGAAATGGGTGTCGCGAAATGATTGTCGACGAAATGAATCAGACCCAACGTATTACGAATTAATTAAATCTGCGGAATGTAACACGAACTCATATTATACACAGTGAATCTCGATTTAGCGGATACTAATTAAAAATCTCGGTTTTACGGATAAAGTTCAAAGAACGGTTTCATAATAAACCTTAATAAAAACCTTCTCGATATAGCGGATATCTCGGTTTAACGGCTTTTTGGAAAGTTTTCCCTAATTGCCCAAACTATCCGTTAAATCGAGATTCACTGTGTATTAATATTAATATTCAGCGTTTCGCCGATCCCGACATTTACAATTTTGGTTAAAATCAACAGTTTTAACCAATAAAAATTTACAAAACAGGTTTGTGGGATCAGTGAAAACGCTGAATGAGAATGAGAATTAATTGTCAAAACTAATTTTCATCCAAGGATTTATAACTCTTTAATATTAAACTAAAGTAAATCAAATGGCATGATTGTTTTATGGCTATTCATATAAAGAATATTGAAAAACAAAAACTATTGCTAAAATTACTTTTTTTTTCTAAAACAGTTAAGCACTGTCTAACCAGGTCATTTAAATTTTTAATTTCAAAAATAATGTTTTATACATATATATACATATCTACCAATGATTTAATTGTTTAGTTTTGTTGCAATTAATTTTATCATTTCATTTCCAAGTTTATTACTCTCTTCAAATCTATAAAAATTAAAATATCATTAAATATAAAATTTATTCCAACCAATTAAATATATTCAATCAATTAAATACCTAGATTCAAAGAATTTTGCAGTATCCTCAAATCTTTTTTGATAAGCAACCATATTAGCAATATTCACACATTCTGCCCAACCTTTTGAAGCACTATAAAATTCCATATCATCCGCTCTTATTTCTTTACTATACAAAGCTGAATGAATTGCCCCATTTAGCATCTCATCATTACGAAACAAATACTCTGTTATTCCACTTGAAGTGTGAGATGAAATAATTGAATATATATTGAATATGAATATATTGAGAATATGAATATATTGAGAATAGACAAATGTAATTTACATACGTCCAAAGCCTAAATAATGGGGTTTGACAAACCATATGTTCATATGGATTTATTCCTAATTGATACCAACAATCAGTCTAGTGATAATAATTAAGAAGTATTAATAATATTCCTGAATTATTATATCAAATTATTAAATGTTTTATACCATTGCTAATAAAGATAAATGAGAATTTGGTTTTCGTTTTTCTTTTGGTACAATGGACAATGAAAATTTATCTAATACACGATCTGATAATAATATTGGAGATGATGTTGAATTTCCAAATATAAATTTACCAGCCTGATAATAAGAATAAGAATGAGGAAAAGAAAAGAGGATATAAATATATGAATACATATATATAAATATAATGTTTACTTCTTTAACCCTTTTGGTAAATTCTGCTTCTTTTTCTTGGATCATTAATTTAAATAAGTCTGATACAGATTGTGCATACTGTTCTATTTGAACCTTTGCACTAGGATTCATAATTGCTATTCCTACAATTATAACAATAATAAGAACAACAACAATAAATAATAGTAGTAGTAGTAGCAGCAGCAGTTAATAACATAATAATAATTTTGCAACTTTAATAATTGCATTATTGATATATTTACCTGCATAAACATGCCATTTGTTGGAATAAATTCTTAATGCCATGTGAACTTTGACATTTTCTATTCCACCAACATGTTGTGGTGTTTCCCACTATCATACAATCAATAATAAAATCACATAAATATAATAAATCATGCAAAAATAACAAAAATAGTAAATTATTTACAGGAAAGGTTCTTTGAGTTTTCCAAGCAGTTCCCATACTTAAAAATGCAACATGAGTAACAGCCTGAGTATCAGCTGTAATTTTATCATGTTCTTCATATGTCAACTCTACCATCTTTGATCCTAAACATGACAAGACTCTTTTTGTAAATTCAAATTTTTCTAATGTTGCCTTATATCTAATCATCACCTTGTTATTTTTATTGAACAGATGATTAAATATTTTATAAAGAGGGAGAGAGAAAATAAACATAATGTAGATATTTATATATATATATTTACCAATGGTTGATCTTTTGGATCAACAGTAGGCCCATGAAGTGAGTGGCATGAGACAATATGAACATCATGTGGTAAATGTTTTTCAAATGCTTTAATTTCAATTTCTTTCACCGATGTCTAAACTTATTTTAATTATAGTAATAGTAATAGTGTTAATATGCTATTATAATTGTAATTATTGTTAATTTTCATTATATTTTTACCTGTCCAGCAACAACTGCTTCAATTTTTGTAGCTATATTTTTTTATTTGATGATCATGATTAAAATTTTTATTACAATCTTGTTCATTACATATTATATATGTCATATAATATTTACATGGCCCATATTCAGCAACTACTTGATCAATCTTTCCTGCTTCAACTGAATAAATAATAAAGTCACTTCTTCGGGAAACTGCATGTCCATCTTTAAGGACACTCAAGCCACTATCTAAATAAAATATTTTAAGTTATTTTCAAATTGAATTTTCTTTAATTAATTTTGTAAATACCTTTTAAATCCTTTTTGAATTCTTCGTATTTTGAAGGTAGGTCACAAACATTAACTCTAAAAATAATAGAATAATGAAAATTAATAAATTATTATCCTTTATACTGTAATAATATAATACAAACCTTTTCCATCCTGCTTTCAATATTCTGTTGGCATACATTAAACCCATTCCACCCAAACCTATAATACCAATTTCCGTAGTTTCTTTTTCTGTTTCAATTGATTCAGACATTTTTTTCCAATCAATTGAATATTTTTTTAGATCTTGTTTATCGCGAAAATCTTATCATTTAAACGCCACAATTGTACTTCCAACAGTCTCGCAGTAATAGTTAACAACTTTTGGTTAAGGATATTGTATGGTATTTCCAGAGATGATGCACGATAAAATCAATTGCCGGGTCAGGGCGCAAAACTATAATAGTCGGACAGTGACTGATTTTAATATATGATCGACATGGCACGTTTTCTGTTTGCCTAAACTAAAATGTGATAATGCCGAAACTCGGAAAAAAAAAGGTTGTAGAAACTAATACTCCGAAACTCAA